CACTTTTATCTAATTGTCACGGCTGTTGTCGGGCGGCCGTTTCGCCGCGACCGACGCTCGTGCGGCGCGGTCGTCGAGCTCGACGTTCGTGACGCCCGGTCGGCGAGCGCGACGCGAACACGCGAGGCTCGTTACAGGGACAAAATCACGGCACGCCCTGACGGCTCGAGTCGCAATTAAAATTTAAGCCGCTGCACGTGCGACTGTGCCGCGTCGAGCCCGTATGAATTATTTGCATTCAATCGGTGGCGGCCGTGCGGAGGTAATTGGCGCTTTGTGGCACTCTGTCCCCGGGGACCAGTTGAGGCCGTGAGACGTTTGAAACGGTGTCAAAAGGGTTAATACGGTAATTTTGGTCACACGGGAAACGTTAGAACGAGCGCGTAAAACTTGATTTGCAAGCAAATTAACCTCAGAGCGTAAGGGGTTTTCTAGTAAGAATAGCGTTTAACTTACCTGAAGCTTAGAAGCACATCTCAAGCTGACTAATATTTCTGTCAAATAAATAAAGCTGCAAATACCTACAGCAACAGCGAAAACTGAAGATGGAAAGTCTCCGAATATTTGGTGCCAATTAGACACTTCCACAGGGATATATTTTGCAGAATCGGCACACACTGATACATTGAGAGCAAATCACCATGCCCATAGAGCTAGATCAAACGATTGCTAGTGGTGCCTCTATGTTCATGGTAAGTCAAAGAGAAATCCGAGACATCAGCCGCGTCTAGAACCCATCGAATTTCCTATCATGTTATTTTGGCCAATCTTTCAGTCATTGGAAGCTCTTAACCCTCGCCCATGTAGTTGGTGCAACCCCCCCCCCCCCCTGAGGTTTTTCTTAGCTACACGCCGAACCGTTGCAGATAGCCTGCTCAAATTTTCAGTACCCTTTGGGGCATCCTTTGCGCAACTTTTGTAGTATTTTTTGTCAAGGTCATGTCAGGTCACGGAGTTATGACGTCATAAAGGGAACAACCTCCGGCAAGATTTACGCTAAATTGGAGATTGCTTCACATTGGTATAAATGCCGACTGACCTGGCACACTGATGGATTGTTTTAGAATCACAACTGGCTGATTTGACATTGGCACAATGTCCGTTGACATTTTGAAGGTTACTAAAGGTCAAGGTAAGATCAGTGACCTCGTTTGACCTGTAATGATTTCTTGCACTTGTATGCCTTTTCGGGGTATTTTGATGCCCTGAATTCGAATTTGCTATCCATTTCAGGCATCGTCGGTTGTTTCTTGTAGTTCATTTTGGGTCAGGGTCAGGTCAGTGACGTCACACGCCTGACGTGACCCAATGCACAAATGACCTTGCAGACTTACGATGCTCCCAACGCATCATTTTTAGAGGTATGACATCGAAATACACACCAAACGATAGAGAATTGATCAAGGATCACGATAGTGAAGGTTTCAAGTCGATATCTCTCACCGTTTTGCCGCAATCGGCGCGGAAATCTGAAAAGTTCGATTTTTCCGAAAATTTGACCTTTGACCGGTCATAAGTAGGTCAAATGTTGACCTAGGACCAAAAAATATACCACCAATCGCGAGATCTCGTTGAGAGCAATCCGTTGGTCTTTTCCGCTAAGCTCTACGACGCTCCGTTTTCAAACGCCAGGGGGGTTGCACCAACCCCCCCCCCCCTGCATGGGCGAAGGTGGCAAAACACCGTTTACGGGCGAGGGTTAAATGTTTTGTAGCCTAGTTGTCAGCTGAAAAAATTAATTATTGATCTGCGCAATTATTTGATTTCAGAGGTTATGTGGTTTGCTCGGAGGGTATTTGATAGAGGCACTTTGGTGCACAGGAGTGAGAACGATTTATCAGCCTAGCCTGGCAGGCAGTCAAAATTGAGCCATTGCCGAGTCCGCAAGTTATTACATCCCCACCATCAAGTGAGTAAGACCTGGCGATTTTACAAACCTTCCATGGTGCCAGTTTCCGCGGACAGCCGCAGCACTTAGCACACAATACCTGGTGACCTCCCACTGAGAGTTGGCTCCAGTGCAAATCAATGCATCGTGCAAAAAGACATCAACCGAGCGGCCGGCGCGAGCCGCACCGACCACTCAGCAAATTAATCAGCGAGCCTCAGGGCGGACACCGACGGGGCGCGTCATAAATGGAACTATTCGGCTGACAATGAGCTGTTGAATGTATGTACGCTGGTCGCGGCGCCTACAGGCTTTGTGCGGGCCATGCGATCAATGAATCGCAATAACGCGCTCTTGATAAAGGAGTCACCCGAGGTGTGGGGGTAATTTGTCGCAATGCTCCTGTCGGAACAGAACTCATTCAGACATCGGGTGTTTGGTGATCCGTGGACACTGGCTATTGGTTATCGGCGCGATCATTTGTGACTGCCGTTTCCGTGGAACGGTTTTGTGTTTGGTCAGTTCTTTGTATGAGTAAATTGCTGCCGTTTAGGGGCGTGGTGGTGGGTAAATGATTGTCAGAAACTCGGGAAGTTCTGAAAGGAAATGACCAGCAACGTCACCAATTCAGTCGCACCTGGGGAAGCGGCATTGATTGATTTTAAAAAGTCTGATGCGTGGTTTCAGTGCCGTTTCATTTGACAATACATCCCTACCATTCCTAGATTCAAAAGACCCAGGTTTACTTTTGAATCTGCAATCTGTTTTCTCTAAAATGACCAAAGTTGAGGTACGAGACTAGCTAAATGAATCTAGTAAAGCTATGGCAATGTTTGATCACAATATTCACTGAATTCACAAAGAGCACATCAACCAGTTGTCTACCACTTTTGATTGTATTTTCCTCTGCGCACATGACCATGACGGATTATTCACAAAACGTTACCTTATCATGTAATAGAGCATTATAACGTCTACGGCGTCCCGTCACCATCATCTTCAGCTTTTTCGTCGCCTTTGTCGCCAGCATCGTCACCGTCACACGCTTCTGTTGTCCCTCTGCTAGTTTCAGTCGTCTTTCCTACGTCATCACCTCGAATCAAAAGCTCCAGCATCACCGCTGACGGGGGCAGCGGTCACGGTATTTTCCAATCTGGACCCACACTGACCGCCAGACACGTGTCGCCCCGGTCCCATGGGCCCCTGTGGGGTCGCCGAGCCCTGCCTCCCCGGAGACCTACCTCGAGCATCGACCGAATCAGTGCGGTCCCGGAAAACGGACACAGTGCGAACGGAAGGAATGGTGGTGAGACGGACAGGGAGAGAGAGAGAGAGAGAGAGAGAGAGAGAGAGAGAGAGAGAGAGAGAGAGAGGGGGGAAGATAGAGAGACCAGAGAGAGACAGAGAGAGACAGAGAGAGAGACAGAGAGAGACAGAGAGAGAGACAGAGAGAGAGACAGAGAGAGAGAGAGAGAAAGAGAGAAAGAGAGAGGGAGAGAGGAAGAGGGGAGAAGGAAGAGGAGGACCACACACACCAACATAGTTCGGTCCCGTAGCTCAGTTGGTAGAGCGTTGGACTCCGCGTGGTGAGAGCACACGTTCCCGGTTACAACAGTCCGGGTTCGAAGCGCGACGGGCGCTTTATGGGCCTCCTGACAGGTATGTTTGCGGTTGATGGCAGGCCGTAGCCAGGTGAAGTCAGTGAGGGGACCGGCCGTGCGCGGCTATGTGCGCACGTTAAACTTTGGACTCTAAATACTGCCATAGAACTGGAATTGCGCGATCGGAGGGTAGAGGACAGGGTCACCGCAACAAGCATCGCTTAGCGGTGGCTCTGTCCTTGTGAATCCTTCCCATCAAATGGTTCGGACTAAATTTATAAAAAAAGGAGAGAGGGTGAGCATGTGCTGCTAAATTGATGCGAGCATTGGTTTCTTTTTAGGGGGAGTGAAGCAGCTGGAAGCAGAGTCATGAGGCGCCTCCCACCAACACACAAAATGCCATAAGCCGAATCCATCTGCAAAGTCTTCGTCATACATCTTGGACCCTATCACTGTGGGTGTGACCTAACAGTGACGTCTCATTAGTTCGACGCCCACCTTGCCTCTAAGTGCATCATTGAGCGGAGAAGACTTCTAAACGTCTAGCTCTCACCAGATTTCTAGTTTCAGAGTAGCAGTGAAAATGCAATGATTTTATAACAGATTTTGTGAATGCAATTCGCTGAAAATGTGACAATGCAATTCGCTTAAGCAGTGGCAATAAAGACCACGAAACTGTCCGATAAAGCCGAGTTATCTTGATACAGATTTTAACAATAAAAAATGTAACAATTGATGCGCTGATGTCGCGCATAGTGATAAACTATCACGTATATTATAGTACAATATGCTTACAATGAAAGTTCGACGATGAATGATTCAAAGGTATCCATCAAGCCTCGTTGTGATGTATTATCTTTGCGATGCATGCCTTGGGTTACAACGAGTTAAAATCGATGTCCGTTGCTAGGAAAAGCGTGCAATGTGTGTGGTTACATGGATCCTCGCCATTGTCTCACGTTTTCCGGTTATTTGTTCAGCATAACAGCTTTATTCTTGCATCGTTCCGTGCCTGAAGGGCGTTTTCAAGGCGACGGTCAAGCTGTCCTTCCTATCTTTCTTCCGGTTGTGAAAGACGTTTTCGTGAAAGGCAATAAATTACGTAATAACGTAACATTTCTTCCGTTGTAGGCAACTGAATATAATACGATTCATGGAATGTGGCTCTTGTCTTGTTTGAATTATCAAAAACCCGTGCAGTCCTGTTTGACTGACGATGACATGAGGAAAGATGAATGAAGGATAACTTACTAACTGTATCCATGCCTTGCATTTGGGAAAAGATCCTGGACATAACGCTACGTCTTGCCCATCACTAAATGTTGACTTCTTGAGCATCCCAAGAGGTGCAATAATCAGTTGTCGTGCATCACCTCGCTTCCTTTGCGTATCGTAGCAGATAGTGAGTATGTTGAAACAAGACTATTATTTGTGGTCTGTGGTAGCGATTACCAACAATGTTTGACAGCACCCACTATCCCCCGACCACTCCATGGTTGATTAAAAAGGAATACTTTTATTAATATTTTATTCTTGATTGGACGACAGTCGCACTTCATATATGTAAAATTTACCAACACATATTCACACAATTAAGTAGTTATTAGAAGGCATAAGCTGCAAAAAAACATTGACATGTAGCAAAGTTTGGTGTACAAAATAAAAACACTGCGATATAAAATCATATGCAACATGAAATGGCGTCAAAGTACATAACAGAAACACAATCCAAAATGGCAATACTGAAGTTGGTATGATACTGGAATGTATTGTTCGGGTTCGAGAAAAGGCCAAAACCAACGGCCAAACCTTCCTCTGATAAAATTCAAACAAGTTAAAACTCACACAAGAAACTTATTCTACACGGCTGCAAAAGCATTCCAATGCTCCTCTGCTGCGTTGGCACAATAAAAAGCATCGACAACTAAGATATGTGTCACAGTAATACTCAGCTCTGGTGTTTCCAGAGCCCTAGCTTGTACCTAGCGGCCTTCCACTGACCTCTGACCTCTGCGGTGACCCGGGTGACCCCAGTGACCTCTGTGACCTCAGAGGTAGCACCCGGCGATCAACGTTACCATCCACTACCCTAAGCAAAGCACGAACATTTCGATCACACTGCCTCTTCGGTGCGGAGGCTTGGTCGGCAGGCCCTGACCTGACCGGGACGGCGGCGGGCGCCTGAGGTCAGGTCAGGTCAGGGTCGAGGTCACACCCAGCTGCACGGGTTGCAGTCAGGACGGAGCGGCACCGGCTGCTCCTTCCCGCTGAAGGCATGAGACAGTGTGCTGGTTTTGTGACCACATCTTCAAGATACTGACCTCGTGTGACCCAGATATCCCCCAATGACCACTTCACCAGCTCGGGTCACTGGCCTTCGGCACCCCACGGCCGGTCCTGCCGGCGCACGTTGCCGCTGCACGGGCCGGGAAAAGCACATCACAACAGTAATAACAACACACTGACCCAGGCGCCCTCTCGGCCACTGTAACAACACACGCTCGCACGCACGCACGCCCGGCGCGCTGGCGGTCGCCCGACACTAGGCGCGGGGGGGGGGGAAGGGGAGGTTCAGGGCCGCAGCTGCTCCGATCACAGAAGAGCGTTGGATGAGTGGAGCGGCTGGTAGTAGTAGGGCTCCGGCGGCAGACTGGACGGCGGCGCGTAGGCCATGCCGTACCCGCCGTACTGCGTCGGTAGGTCGTACACAAACTTGTCCGCCGGCGCGCCCTTGTTCTCGTTAGCCATGATATTGTTTATCGAGAAGGGGTTGTAGTGCGGGTCCTTGTAGACGTCCTTGTAGGGGTCCTGTTTGAGGTGGGGCGGCAGCGGCGGCGGCGGTCCGCCGTAGTAGTCGGTCAGCTGGTGCTGGTGCTGCCCCGGGTGCTGGTGGTGCGCCTCCTCACCAGCTGGTGCTGGCTCCAGTTTGGGGGCCGGCTCCAGGTGCGCGGTGTGTGTGGTTTGACAGGACGGAGGGGCCGTGCTGCCCAGCGGCGAGGACACGGACGGGGTCAGTGGGCCGCCGCCGCTGACCGGAGGCCCCCCGCCGGCCGCCGCGCCCGCGCCCACCGCCGCCGCCGCTTCCTTCTTCACCTCAGCTCGCTCCTTCTTGGAGCGCGAGCCCGGCGCGGCCTCCCCCGAGTGGGTGATGGCGCGCGCCGCCTGCCGTACCGCCTCCTTCTTCTCGTCCTTGAAGCGCTTCTGGCGGCGCAGGTAGCAGCCGTTCTCGAACATGTTGCCCGACTCGGGGTGCAGCGCCCAGAAGCTGCCCTTGCCGGGCTTGTCCGGTGTCCGCGGCACCTGTGGAAGACAAGAAGGGAGGAGGTCAGAACGAGCGACAAGAGACAGAACAACTGACAGGGATAGAGCAAAGCCTAGTTGTTCATGTTGAAGTTTTTCTTGAGTTTGTTTTGGGCTTTGCCTTTGGCTCTAGTAAACTGGACCTAATTCTTGGTTATAGCACACAATCTGAAACCAGTCGACTTGCACGATTAGCATTACACTGTCATACTCGTCCGATACAGTTTGTCTATTCGTATAGGCCGGTGGCCAGTGGATACACATGTTATTTTCAGCACAGTATTGGTGTCAGGGATTGTTGAGAGGGAATATCGTATTCCAAGAATATTGACAACCAGTCGACAACACTATAATGCCCTAGTCTTTCTACTTTTATTTTAACTTCATAATAATGAAAACTCGAACAATTGCATTTATCAGCTTTGATCACCAGTGCCCACATTCAAATTAACGAAATCACGCCGGAGTCACCCTTCACCAATTTCTGAACAATTTTGACTTTCTAGCAAACAAGCTGTTTTTCCGTGTCCTGACAATTACCTCAACTATCGCCCTGACGCGCTACCAGCGTCCAAATTACCACATAATGGTAAAAATGGCGCACGTACCACGCTCCTTGTGACAATTAGAGTCACCCTCTTGTCAAATATGGACGGGCAGGACCGGCTGAGCTGAAGGGTCGGCGTGGTGCATATTAGTATGAGTTTCTCTACAACTATGTTTTTTTTCGTGTGACTCATGATAATAACTTGTGTGTTACGATACTATTATTAAAATATGTAAGTACAAAGTCTATTTACATTTGATTTATGTATCGTTAATGTGAATTGTAAGAGAAACATTATCCCCTTATTTAACGTTGAATAATAACGAAGGACTATCTATGCCCTTCCGTTGCCATTTAAAAAGCACACAAAACGCAAATAATGACAATGATGAGAAATATCGCAAAAAAAAACTTTGAACTATCACTATCTCATTTAATGCTGACTTTGGGTGCTGGCAGCAGACCAACGCTACTCCACACTCCCTACCTATCGGACTTGTATCGGCCGCAATGTATGAAGCTAGGTCATGTCATTTCTAATGACGTCATTCGCGTACTACAAATACTGTTTTGGCGCGCCCACTCAACACTTGAGCGCTCACTCAGCCTGAGATCAACATAAGCATGCTACTTGAATACATAAGCCTTGCTTACAATGGTTTCGCACATTATCAGTAAGCGCACTACTTATAATAATTGCTTATGTTATGTCGCCACACACTTATCTACATCGAACATCAATTCATATTGTTAGTTCTGTATATTTTTAGTTTATAAGTTACGTTAGACAATAAAGGCAATTATTGCTGTTCTCGACGCCATTGTTTACTAAAATGTTGTAAAAGTCAAGTGAAAAGTGTAGGTATGATGTTTCAAGAATATGGTTCGTGCTAACTTTCGTCTCGCTGTTTCAAATGGACCACGAACAGCATACGTGATGAGATATTTTGACTGTTGCGAGGCCAAAAACATACAACATAGTTTTTAACCCTCGCCCTGGCAGGGGGGGGGGGGGGCGATGCGACCCCCCCCTAAGGTTTTTCGAAGCTAGCGTAAAAACGGCGGCGCGCAGCGCCGCCAAATTTGGCACAGCCTATGGGGCAACCTTTTTACATATGACCTGCAAATTTCAGGTCCGGGTGACCTTGGGTCAGGTCGCCAGGTCAGAAAAACCGGAAAAAGGTCATGGTCAAATTTCAATTTTCTGTTTGCACCTGTCCAACTCACAGTTTTTGACTGATTTCCTTCAAACTTTCAGGGTGTGCTAAGTTCACCGAGTTGTATAACATATAGTTCTGGTTTTTTGGTGCCACTGACCTGAGGTCAGCTAGAGGTCATTACGTCATAATGTTAAGCCTATGGGAAAATACTAAATTCGGAAAATACTGGAGATATCCGCTTCGTTCTATCACTTTTGTGCTTTGAAACCACAGTAATTAACAGCAGGTCACTTGGTGCTTCTCTGTTTGGTGTACTTATCCATGGGTCAGGTCAAATGAGGTCAACCGAGGTCAAAAGACGTTTTTGCCAATAACTTGGCACATAATGAAGCTAGAGCTTAAAAAATGGTGTCATTATGTTCCTTGTGATCAGCCGAATCGACTGATATGCAATATGATGCAATTTGGTTAAGTTTAACTTAATTCATTAATTAAAGTTCACTTAAAATTTAAGAAAAACTTTAAGTACACTTAAGCAAGCTAAAAGTACACCATTCGACGCGCCTTGACGTGCTGAGTTCACTGGTGCTTTTCTTTTTGCTCTATCTTAAATAGATCAAAAGTTATAAGCGAAAAACTTTTGACATGTTTTTACCGAAATTTTTACATTTATACCCCCCAAAACCCCCCTAAATATTGACCTAGAGCGACCAAATTTGCACAGGGCGAGAACTCCAGGGGGCCCACCTACCTACCAAATTTGGTGTTTCTAGGTGCCATAGGAGCCAATCGCGAGGGGGGGGTCGCATCGACCCCCCCCCCCCTGCCAGGCCGTGTTATGAAAAATGCCCTGCCAGGGCGAGGGTTAATATGCTGCTTTTAAACAATGAAGTCATAAACAAATCGCAAAAAATGTGGAAGAGCTCGTACTTCAATAAATTTTAAAAAGTAGATGTCGAGGGGTTATATGTCGTGCTCGGCGCATAGGGCCCTGGCCGAAAGTCAGCCGAAGCCCTGAGGACAGCCGCCCGAATTACATCCCAGAATCAGATCAGAGGAGCGTTTGCGGCAGCTGATATAGCCTGTTGTGATTCAGCGAACGATAAGTCCCTCTTCCGTGTATCGGTCGCCGTGACCGCACCGTTCCTCTAAGTTTGAGTGTGTCCTCATCTCAGTGGAACTTTGGCCCCGTGCGGGGTCAATGAGATAGGCCCTCAATTCACAGTCCAAAATATGCTGGTGGAAGCGCAGGTAGGGAAGGGCAGGGGAAGAGGATGACTAGGGAAGGTGGTCTACGTTGGGTGATCTACGCTGAGGTAAGTGTAAGCGTGGGTAATTAGTTGTGAAGAGATGATGATGATTTGGTGAGACAGGGCGCACTAGCAAGTAACGAGGCTATATCGTGTAGCTGTGAAGAGAGTTTGGGGGCAAGATGGAAGTTAACCCTCGCCAGGCGAGGGCCTTTTCCATAACACGGACGGCGAGTGGGGGTTGGTATGAACCCCCTTCCCTCGCGATTGGCTCCTATGGCACTTAGAAACGCCCAATTTACAGGGTAGGTGGATCCATAGGAGATCTCGCCCCTGTGAAAGTTTGGTAACTCTAAGTCAATATTTAGGGGGTTTTTGGGGGGAAATGAGTGAAAAAAAATTGCTAAAACATGTCAAACGTTTTTCGCTTATAACATTTTACCTAGTAAAGATAGAGCAAAAATAAAAGCACCAGTGAAATCAGGACTTCCGTGCGCATCGTATGATATACTTTGTTACCAATTAAAGTGAACTCTGGAATTCAGTTGCCGCTAAGCTAGTCCAAGTTTTCCCTGACCTTGTACCGGTTTTTGTGACCTGGTGATCTGACCTGAAAAGACTGGGACTTCAAATTTTCTGGAACGGTGTGAAAAGGCTGCCGCAGAGGGTATGCCAAATTTGGCGGCGCTACGCGCCGCCGTTTTTACGTTATTTGCGAAAAACCTTAGGGAGGGGGGTTGCATCAACCCCCCTCGCTGGGCGAGGGCTAACATCTCGCGGTAAAATGCAGGGATGTTTGGAAGGCCCATTGAATCAGATGCTTTCATTCACCTATCATAACGTATGCCTAGTTTGTGCCCATTATTGACATGGCTCTAGGTGGAACGCCGCTCGACGGTGGCTCATCTCGACTGTGCTTCATCTGTGTACACTGTACATATACAAACATGCAAACATACACACACGTCCGAGCGGTGTTTGATAAGACACAATGGATCAAGTGCTGTTTTCATATTCGGTGTACACGTTGGCCTTTTACCTACGCTTTTTACGACTTGTTATTGCTTGTAGAAGAGGGCAGAGCTCACACACATGATTTTTTATCTAAAAGGTAGGTATTCTTGGAATCTTGTATTTTGTTGACGAAAGAGTACCTATGTGCGGCATAAATATAACTGCAAAAAAACAGGCGGTGCTGCAAGATGCCTTATTTGGTTTGTCACACAAGCACATCGTCCTCCATTTTTTACCCTGCACCATTCTTATGCGAGCATCAGCAGAGATTGTCGCAGTCACAATTTATCACTTGCAACTTCCTTTGGGAGCGCCTAGATCGCGTGCAGGATTAGAAGGAAGCCTCCATTCCGGAAAATGGAAATACCCCGCTCACTAGTGGCGGTCATCCACCAGCGTTCCACTCAAGAGCTGGCATTGAGTCGACGCTTCTGTGGTTGATAGCCTCGGGGCATGCGACAAAAGCCGCACTTTCGAATATAGGGACCCGATAATTGCCTCCATCATGCATAACGGTGTCGCCGAAATACAGAGCCGCAACGCAAATAACACTCACTGATCCGCGCCTAAGCTCCGCCTAAGCTCTTGACTTAGTTTAAGTTTGGTTGGCAAACGGACCACATGAACTTTGAGACCAACATTGATTTCTGGCGGTTGAATGGTGTGCTTGTGCAAAAACAGGATGAGTGCAAACATGAATGTTCTCCTTTCTTGTTGAATATTGACTTTAATTAAGATTTAGCTTATTTTAGCTGAACTGACAAGCTACAAGGTGTTACAGTTAAAAAGGTGATATTATTCAGGGGCTTCGATAAGCAATTATTAGACCTGTGAGTTTCTGTTTACGAAAGGAGAAAATTGCTTGTTAAAATCTACATAGATTCGAAGGAACATTTACGTTTTGATATAAAACATACCTTTGAGCCAAATAAACAACCTGATTTGTACCTGCTTTGTCGTCAGCACGGCACGCCATTGGATTACTGACTTGAGATCGGCGGCTTGGCGTATAAGTCATTGTGCAATGTGCAGTGACTTCTGAACAATTTGCACCCCGAGATATTTACCTTTTACCGTGTAGACTTAGAGAAGCACGAGGAGGTACTCTTGCGTCTCATAAAAATAATTCAATCAATGGGTACACAAATCATCTGTAGTAAACGGTATGCATAAAAATCGGTAGATGAGCGCCCAGAAGACTCGCGTATCAGTGTTGTGCACGCGTGGTATGCTGTTACGGAAATATTTATCTAAACAAAACAAACCAGTCCTCAAAAACGATGAACGTGTGTTCACTACTTTTGTACATACGCGTAACTGCTACCGGAGCATTTTATGACATTTTAATAAAATGATTTTATGACAAAATGATGAATGATAGGGCGGTGGGCGAAGATTGTGATGTAACTATTTGCTAATTTTGTTTATTAGTTATTTAACAATATCATTATCAGGCAGTGTCCCATGCCCATTGAAAGGCGAAGTCGAAATGAAAGGCGAAGTCAAAAGTATGCTCATTGATTTCGTCTGTGTTTCAATGCCTTTCAATGTCTGTGAACGCATGAGTGTTTAGTATCTGTAGGCGCAGCTAAACACGCTAAACTTTGTATTGATTATAAGCAGAACATAGATACTTTCCCCGACAACCTCACGTATTTCTACATGAGCTATCCGGCAATTGTCTGGGTCTTTTAGCTGTCGTACGATATTTGCATTCGAGAATCGCTCTGATCTTTGCAGCAGCTATGAGCTAGCCACGGCACCTCTAGTCACTGCAACTCTAGGCACCACTGTGGTATCCCGACCGTTCGCACCTCTAGTCGCACGTGCAGCGTGCTGTGCGCGTGTGTCTGCGAGCGGCCGCCTCTCGAGAGGATTGTTGTGAGAGAGTCGCGCGGGGGATGCGGCCGGTGAGGAGCGCGCCTTTGGAGTGGCGGCCCGGCCGGCCCGGCCGTAAGGATGAGACTGGACGAGACGAGACGGCGCGAGACGAAACGAGACGGAGCGAGACGGTTCGAGGTAGGAGGGACGGTACGAGCGGGAGCGCAGCAGCCGGGTAACTATTCACTCCGTCTGAGCATCTCAAACCCGCCACCACCACACCGCTCGGATAGGAGCGGCCCGCGCGGCAATCGCGGCCGGTGCGGCCAATTTGGCGCGGGCAAAAACGGCGCCCGGTCGCGGTAACCGGATTGAGCACCGCGACGGTCGAGGGAGGCGATGAAAGGGGGTTTAGGGCGCGCGGGCCGGATGGGAAGCTGGGACAGACGGTCCCGCCTGGCGATGCCGTTCCTCTCATGGGAGGCTTATAAACGATGTAGACCGTTAGAGGGAGCGGTGATTATTGTGGTCTGATGCGATTTGGGAGGCGAATCGGCCGGGAAACCATCTGGTTCTGTTGCCGTCTAGACCGGTTTTGGTTTATTTTGTTTTGTTTTAGCTCGAACTGTAATAGGTTTTCAAACTGAGAGCTGGCACATTGTTTATTTTGCAGTGTTTTATTGGAATATAAAATTTCAGCACTTCATGAATAGAAGAGTTCTCTCTTTTATAAATCATATCCAACCAACCGATTTCTAGTTAAACATTTCTACCAACTGCCGACTATCGAACAAAGCACTTCACAAACTTATCGGAGATGACCTGACTCGGGAGTTGCTCTCACGCGGCGTGTACGTACATTTACCTTGAGAAAGCAGTCGTTGAACGATAGCGAGTGGCGGATCGAGTTCTGCCAGCGCTGCTGGTTCTGCCGGTAGAACGGGAACAGGTCCATGATGAACTGGTAGATCTCGCTCAGCGTCAGCATCTTCTGCGGCGAGTTCTGGATGGCCATGGTGATGAGGCTGATGTAGCTGTAGGGCGGCTTGGCGTGCGTGTAGCTGCGCCGGTACGTCTTGTCGTTGCGCGCTCTCTGCAGGGCACTGCCGACCGGCGAGTGTGGTGACCCGGTCAGCTCGCGGCTGTACGGACTCAGGCTCGGCGCCAGGCCGCCGACGCCGCCCAGACCCGTCATACACGAACTGTTCATACCGATCTGCTGGGCGGGGGCCATGCTGCTGAACGATGTCATACTCGCCATCGAGGCAGGCGGCGGGTAGTTGCCGTTGACGGCCATGCCGCCCATGCTGTTGTAGCTCTGCAGACTCTGCGGCTGCGGGTAGGACATGTGCATGTTGTTCTGCATCGGGTAGCTGGCCATGGCGGTGTTGTTCATGGTGCCTCCGGAGTGCATCATGGCGCTGCTGAGGCGGCGGCGCGCGGCTCACGGGGACGTCCTGGCACTGTCCGGCGATCACTGATCCACTTTAGCCGCGGCGTGATTTGATTTCACTATTATCACTGCAAACACGCGTGGCACTCTGTTGCCTGTTGATCACAGCTGTTGTCGCGACAGGCTCGTATAATTGAAACACCAAACAGCCGCATGTGTAACTTGGCTGTTTAGCCAAGTTGTACAATCAAGTGCTCCGCGTTGTCTCTGGGTGTATGCCCAACTTAGCGTAGGGTAAATACGCTTCACCGGCCGGCCGCTGCGAGCTCCGCCCCCGGGGCGGAGCCTCGTTCCAGGTGACGGCCGGCGCGAGCGCTGATTGGCCGTTTCCATGGCGATGAGATACGCCTGTGACGTCAGAGGACTGATGAGCAGCGAAATTCCGACCAGTGCCCCAGGCGCTTCAGGCGCGTCCGCCGCACGGGCTGGCAGCGAAATTGTGAAAGATTGCAGCTGGTAATTTGGCAATAACGTGCAATGAACGGTATTGCAACGGAAAAGAATACGGTCGGATCTGACAGTCAAATCGTCCGGGCGAATTGATGACGTTCAAATGTCAAAACAAAGAATGATTGCACGTAGTTTTCGGCAGTTTCAGAAAGGCTGTCATGGACGCTGCGGAAGGGTGCGCCAGGAACCTTTCTCCTAAGTCCAAATACTGCTCAGATTTCAAAAGGAACGCTTGCACTGATGTGCAGTTGACAATACACGTTTCCAATTAAAAGCTGCTCAGTTTTTTTTTTCTATTCAAGAAAAAAAATGGCAAACCTACAATAATTTTGGGTGCTGCAGGGAAAAGGCATTTATCCTAAATGTCGTGACCTCACGGCTCCGCAAGTTATTCCCGATGCCTTATTATCTATATCACCAAATGATAACGCCTTATTTGTCGATTTTATTTGCGGACACCAGCTCATATTTCTTTAAAGCAAAGTAAACACCTTTTTCCATGTGGATATCTGTAATCGATAAGCAATTGTCTTTGAAACAAACACAAAGCACTAAGAAATGCTCTTAAGTGACACCCACGTGTAGGCATAGATTACCCTTTTCTTGTAAAAGCAGAAGTCATTGTCGTGACGCTCAATTATAAACATGACAGTCATTTCAATTGAATATTGATCAAGTACCTTTAGGCACATTCAAGGTATTGATATGTCAAAAAAATAGAGGCCTGTGTGGGTCGGCTGTAGTGGTTTGGCCTACGGGTGACTTCTGAGCAATGCTGCCCGATTTTGTGTTTTCGGTTTTTCTTCGATAAACATTGCATATTTAACCCTCGCATGTGTAGGGGGGGGGGGGGGGTCGGATGGACCCCCCCCCATGGTTTTTCGCGAATAACTCGCGTAAAAAGCGGCCGATCGCGACGAAACTTTCAGTACCCTCGCATTAATCAATTTTACACCTACCCTGAAAATTTCATGACCCTGACCCAAATGACCTTTGACCTGTGACCTCTTTTCCGAGACCATGTTTGGCCGGAATCGCGATTTCGCGTATGTCGGCTCGCACTAGCCGCGTGTTTGCAAGCTTTTCGTGGTTTCAAACGTTCAAACATGTGATTTGATGTTACTCCCGTGTGTGGCAAGGTCACCTGAAGGTCAGGTCAGGTCATTGACCTTTGGTGACCTCGGGTGACCTCGGGTCACTTTTTCGAGTTTTACATGTTTCTAGGCTAGTTTTTGGAGCTGAATTCGAATTTAGCAACCATTTGAACATTTACGAAGTAGTTTTGGTGACTTCGTAACATGTTACGAAGCTGTCAGAGGCGGTTGACACGTACTACGAATACCCGTCACGACGCCTACTGGTTGACCTGACCTGACCTGACCCGACCTGGTCTAAATGCTTCAAGACATCATCTGTGATCAAAACTAACACGATATTCGTGATCAGCACCCCGAAAAACCCCTTAGCAGCCACACTTTACGACTTTCTAACAGGTCCCGATTTTCCCGACTTTGGGTCATTGACCTGACCTGGAAGGTCAACCAATGACCTAGGACCTTAAAATTGGGTATCATCGGCTTCCTCTCGTCACGGGCAACATGCTCGTTTTTTCCGCGAAGCTCTAGCTCGATCAGGGTCCAAACGGCAAGGGGGGGGTCCAACCGACCCCCCCCCCCCCCCCCTACACATTAGAAGCTGGCAAACGCCGCACACATGCGAGGGTTAAGAGGTGACTAAAAATGCTAGTTTTAGCTCCTGTTCTTGCCTCTAGCCTTTTCAATTTATCTTAGGCCCAAAATGCTAGTTTCCCTAAAAATGTCTGAGCGTGTCGACCTTTTGTTTCATCATGTTTTTCATACCCTCGTTTTTAGAGTTAGCACGAGGACGACATCCCTGGGCCCCAGTGATCGAACTTATCCCAGGTCCAGCAGAGACAATAGCCGTTTTCACGACGGGTTATCTGGCAAATGCACCAAACTTGACCAAATCTGCACCAAATCCCTCTTACAACAAATAGCAAATATCTTCATATCATGAATATCTATATTTCAGTGTTTTATTTGAAAATAAGGTCTGATAATTTGAGCTGTCCTATATAAGCAACTGTGCAACCCAAACCGATAACTTCTGAGAAACACAAGCCGTTTCCACGACGGTCATCTGGTACACATTTGGTGAAGATTAGATGCAGATTAGGTGCAAATTTTGTCAAATTAGGTTCATGATGTTTCTTAGAAGTTATCAGTTTGGGTTGCACAGATACTTATATGTATGTATGTGTGTATGTATGTATGTATGTACAATGTACATATGTATGTGTTGACATCATGAGCCTTTCACATACAGCGTGATGATTACTTCTTATTCACTTTTCAAATTATATCAGACATTATTTTCGATTTACACGCTGAAATAAATGCATGATGTTAAGATATTTCTTGCAAAGGAGATTTGGTGCAGATTTGGTTGAATTAAATGCATTCGCCAGATAGCCTCGTCGTGAAAACGGCTACAATGAAACTAATTAGACAAAATCTGCACCTAATTTAACAAAATTTGCATCTAATCTGCACCTAATGTGCACTAAATTTGTACCAAATAGCCGTCGTGACTAAAACAGCTAATAGTCACATACTTATTTGATAAAGATTGTTGTTATTTGTATTACACATTGCTGTCATAAGCTCTGCGCTCACTTTTTAACCCTAGAACGCCTAGGAGGGGGGGGGGGTTGTATCAACCCCCCCCTGAGGTTTTTTCGAAGTGCACGCTAAACGGCTTGTCGTAGCGGGTTGAAATTTTCAATACCCTCTGGGGCAACCTTTGCGCATCTTTTGCCGAAAAAAATTGATCGGGTCATGTCAGGTCACGGAGTTATGACGTCATAAGAGGTACAGCCTCCGGCCGACAGTTACCAAACGTGTGCGCCGAATCCCTAGGTTTTCTGCCGGTGATACCCACATTGTTTGATGGATCATGATGAAACTTCCCATGCATGTTGGGGCAAGCATTGGCTATCGTGTGGTGCAAGAAAATTGACCGGGTCAGGTCAGGTCACGGAGCTATGACGTCACAAGAGGAACAGCGTCCGGTACTATTTTTGAAAAGCGCCCGAACCACTATTTTGCTAATTCTTGTCACCTCAATGGGAATATGCAGCAATACTAGCTTCTATCGGGAGCAAATGGACCTCCCAAATCCAAAAATACAATCAGATTTCAAAAATTTAAATTTTGATTTTTCGAATTTCTGCCGCCGACTGTGACCTTGCCGACTTCCGGCGCTCCCAACGCGCCATTTTTAGAGCTAGGGAAACGAAATACATACCAAACGATAGAGAATTGATCAAGGAACACGATAGTGAAGGTTTTAAGTCGATATCTCCCACCGTTTTGCCGCAATCGCCGCCGAAAGTTGAAAAAGTTTGATTTTTTCGGAAAATTTGACCTTTGACCGGTCATAAGTAGGTCAAATGTTGACCTAGGACCAAAAAATATACCACCAATCGCGAGATCTCGTTGAGAGCAATCCGTTGGTTTTTTTCCGCTAAGCTCTACGACCTTCCGTTTCGAAACGCCGGGGGGGGGTCGTAACAACCCCCCCCCCCCCTGGTCGTTCGTGTTATGAGAAATGGCCTGATCGTGCGAGGGTTAACCCTCGCCCTGGCAGGGCATTTTTCATAACACGGCCTGGCAGGGGGGGGGGTCGATGCGACCCCCCCCCCCCCCTCGCGATTGGCTCCTATGGCACCTAGAAACACCAAATTTGGTAGGTAGGTGGGCCTCCTGGAGTTCTCGCCCCTGTGCAAATTTGGTTGCTCTAGGTCAATATTTAGGGGGGTTTTGGGGGTATAAATGTAAAAATTTCGCTAAAAACAGGTCAAAAGTTTTTCGCTTATAACTTTTGATCTAATTAAGATAGCGCAAAAAGAAAAGCACCAGTGAACTCAGCACGTCAAGGCGCGTCGAATGATATACTTTTTAGCCTGCCTAAGTGTACTTAAAGTTTTTCTTAAATTTTAAGTAAACTTAAATTAATAAATTAAGTTTAAGTTAACCAACTTGCATCATATCGCATATCATTCGATTCGGCTGATCACTAGGAACACAATGATACCATTTTTGAAGCTCTAGCGTCATTATGTGCCAAGTTATTGGCAAAAACGTCATTTGACCTCATTTGACCTCATTTGACCTGACCCATGGATAAGCACACCAAACAAAGAAGCACCAAGTGACCTGCTGTTAAGTACTGTGGTTTCAAAGCACAAAAGTGATAGAACGAAGCGGATATCTCCAGTATCTTCCGAATTTAGTATTTTCCCATAGGCTTAACATTACGACGTAATGACCTCTAACTGACCTCAGGTCATTGACCTTAAAAAACCCGAACTATATGTTATACGACTCGGTGAACTTGGCACATCCTGAAAGTTTGAAGGAAATCAGTCCAAAACTGTGAGTTGGACAGGTGCAAAAAGAAAATTGAAATTTGACCATGACCTTGTACCGGTTTTTCTGACCTGGTGACCTGACCCAAGGTCACCCGGACCTGAAATTTTCAGGTCATATGTAAAAAGGTTGCCCCATAGGCTGTGCCAAATTTGGCGGCGCTGCGCGCCGCCGTTTTTACGCTATCCTCGAAAAACCTTAGGGGGGGGGGTCGCATCGACCCCCCCTGCCAGGGCGAGGGTTAAGATCTTTGACACGTTATCGCAAGCACATACAAATCCGTTACTCGGAAGTGTAAGTTTATCTAAAGTAGCACTTGTAAG